AGGTTTGTTTTCTGATTTTCGTGAGGCTTAGGTGTGGAATGTTTACACGCCACTGGGTGTGAGCTGATTGGATTTGGCCTCCTATTTAAAAAGGCATTCAGTCACCAGTTTGGGGCTGGATTCCAGGTTGGGAAGTTGTCTGGAGCAGCCAGATTCTACTGAGGATTGTTTTCTGGTTCTGGTGAGACACTTAACAATAATCTGTTGGCCTAGTGGATAGAAAGTTATGCTCCCAAGCTAAAGGTGGGCGATTTTAAATCTGCAGCCCTCATGCCTGCTTTTAATTGTTTTGGTCAAACATTCTTCTAAGTCATATACTGGTCTGTCCATTTGCTGTACAGAGGTAACTTGTGCTTGTTGTGATGCTAAACACTGTGACTCTGATGTGTCAAATGCAATAATGGTTACCCATGGTGGTCAGTGTTTGGTGGAGTTCCCTGATTAAAACAAGCTTGGAAGCAAGAATGGCATCCACTTCCAAAATAGCTTGCCTCTAGAAACTATGAACTTGGAGACATCATGAAAGTTATTCAAGTGTTCAGGTTTTTCATTCATAGGGTTGCTATGAGTTGTCTGTCACTCGGTGGCAATTAACAACAACCATAACAACAATAAGCTTTGAGACACTTAAATAGTTATATGCCATCTGGTTGACTATAACTCAGAGTGACCCTATAAATGGTAACTTGCCCTATTCCAAGCCAGCTTTACCGTCTTTGACACACCTGACCCTGCTGCCGCAGTAACTGTGTCAATCCATCTCATCTGGGGTCTTTCTCTCCTGTGCTGACACTCTCCTCTTCCAAGCATTATGTCCTTTCTCTAAGGACTGGTCGTCTGGGTCCGTCCCCCCTGGCCATGTGCTGAAAGTATGTGAGATAGAGTTTAAAAATCCTTGCCTCAAAGAGCTACTTGTTTTGGTCTTCTCTGGAATAGATTTATTGGCGGTCCATTGTGTGTTCAGTACTCTTCTCCAGCATCACAACTCAGAGGCATCATTAGTTCTTCTTCTGTCATCCTTATTCATTGTCTAGCTCTCAGATGCGTAGCAAGTAATTGAGAAGACCACGGCTTGGGGGTGGTTATACTGTATTCTGTATAGGATGACTGTGGCTTGGATTTAACTGGGCAGTACACAATTATAGTCTAACTCCAGAAATGGCTTAATGGTTGATTCTTCTTTCAGTTTCTTTCTGTGGAGCAAGAATCTTAAAAAAAAAAAAAAAAAAAATTAGCTCCCCCCCCAAGGATTTCCCTGAAAGTTTAAGATAATTCAGATGGATTGACTGGATGAAGTCTGAGTCTTAGAATGCTTCTCCCATTGTGTGTGGGAACATTCTCTTTCCTTTGTGTTGGAAGGAAATGGCCTCACAGTGAATTCTGTTTAATTTTATTTATATAAATTAAATGTATTTAATTTAATTAGATGTTTCTCTCAGTTCTGCTGGACTTTCAAGCCCTATGAAGAAAAGGCTGGGCAACTAGAAAGAGTTTGGTGTATTTGGAAAGTAGGTGGAAGAGTGATTTGCTACATGTTGTGAAAACTTTAGTCCCATTTACCTGAAACTAAAGATTTTCTGCTCCATTGTGAGATTGTATAGCACTTTAATTTAGCTGTTTATAAATGTTTAATTGTCTTCTGAACAATAGGACAACTGAACAATAGGCCACAATGTATCTGCATCATAAAACTCTGGGGGCTGTGCTATTTAAAACCTCACACATTCAATATACATATACCCCTTAAGGGGGAAAGCCTGTAAACTACCATTGTTATTGTTAGCTGCCATCGAATCAGCTTCCAATTCATGAAGACACCCAGCATAGTGGAATTAAACACCCCCTGGTCCTGTTCCAGCGCCCTGATCAGGTGCAGATCCAAAGGCTTTGTATTGCCTAATTGTCAGGACTAGATTGCCAGACCTTTCTTCCTGGTCTTAGTCTGAGCATTTTGCTGAAACTTGTTCAACATCATCGGAACACACAGGCATCTCCTGAAAGATGAGTGGTGGCCATGCACCAGATGCACTGGTCAGGAATTGATCCACAGTAGAATTGGCCCATAGGGTTTCCAAGCTGATAAGCTTTACAGGAGTAGAATGCCAGATCATTTTCCTCCACAGCCACTGGGTTGGTCCAAACCACCACTCTCTGCTGTCTGCTGGGATACTGTGAGCTGGAATCCTACTAGACCATTCTCAAGGGTGCCAACAAGCACCCTTAAGATCCTGTGATTACACTGTAGCAGCTCTTGTGGATTTGGACTTCACTGTTCATTTGGGGAAACACGAAGCTAAGTGGTGGTATAAGGAGTCCTGGTGGAGTAGGCTTTTACTTGTTGAGCTGCTCATCTAAGAGGTCAGTGGTTCTAATCCACCAGTGATTATAGAGGAGAAAGATGAGCAGTCTCCTCCTGCAGAGATTTATGGCCTCGGAAACCCAGAGCATCGCTGTGAGTTGGCATCAGTTCGACAGCTGTGGGTTGTCTTTTTTAACATTTGACAAGGTAGATGTAAAAACACAACATTTGTGTAGGACAGACCTTGATTGAATTGAACTCCTCTGAAACAGTCAGATGAGGATGCTTTGAAAACTCCTGATCCATCTCACCAGCTACATGGTAACAGCTTATGTAGCCGCCACTAGCCTGACTTTCTTGATGTCTAAAATATGAATGAGGCTGTCAGGCACTTTCCTCGCCCTTAGTCCTGTCTCTGTTACCCACTGCTCAGAAACCCTGACCCTCTGCAGAGCATCTGGGGACTGGGGGCTGAGACACAGCCGCTGTAGCACTTCCGGCCCTCTGTTTACCACCTGCTGACAGAGTGGTCGCACCATGGACACCACTGCATTCCCAGACTGGCAGTGAAGAGCTGGGTGACCATCACGGCTCCAGCTTGGCGTGTGTGTGACCAAGCCCTTCTGCTAGATGGATGTCCCCTTAGGGAGGTTGGCGTAGTTTTATTTTACCATAAACAAATTTTATTCTGTTTATCATAAAATGATAATTTTATTTACCATAATTTTTTTCCCTTGCCTCCTTTTCCTGTTTTCCTTTTATAAAAAATCAGCTGCTGCAGGATCTCGAGGAACTGAGTGTCAGGTTGACACCATGACAGCAACAACCCTGGGCTCTAGCATGGCAGAATTTGTGAGGAGGGTGCAGGAGTGGGCATGGTGCCAGTCTGTTCATAGTATCGCTGAGAGCCATAGTGATCTAACAATATAGTGGCATTTAACAACAAAAAACATTGACCAGAAAGAATCAGGTTTTTTTCTCCTTTTTGTTTTAAAATTTACTTGAGTGAAAGTTTGCAAAACAAATGGGTTTTCCAGGCAGCCCAATTATACACATTTTGTTTTAGAACCTTACTGCCAATACCTCCCACTTAACCACCATCTTTTCTCTGTCTCTCTGTGATCCTCATTTCTGTTAGTCCTTCTGTCTCCTTCCTGTCTTCTGGGTGTTAGCCTTGGGTAAGTGCCACTCTTTGGACTTCCTGTGGTTGGTCTCTCCAGGGAGTGAGCTCCTTCTGCTCACAGAGCTCCCCTTACAGACCGTCTAGTGTCCAGCCAGCAGGTGAACCACAGGGCTGAGTGTTGATCTATGTTTGAAGGGTCATTAAGGGCCGTCATGTCAGTAGTTTACTAGTCTCCGAAGGACCTGTAAGCCTGCCCTGACGAGTAAGCCTGTATGTGTGTGAGTTTTGTTTCACGGTGCCCCTGACTCTATCCAGGATCTTCTACTGATGTCCCTTGTGGAGTGGTCAGTGGTGGGAGCCAGGCATCCTGGCCCCAGAGTTGTGCAAGTTGACATTTGAGTCATCTGTTAGTTTTTTGCACTAGTTGCAGAAAACCAAATTTTCATTGTTTGTCTTTTTCTAACTCGCCAGGAGGGAGATGGTGAGAGTCTGCGGGGCAGAGATGCAAGGACACTCTTCTTGTTAGTTGCTATTGAGCTGATTCTGACCCAGGGATAACCTGTGTGTTTCAGAATAGAACTGCTCCCCCGGTTTTCATAGTTGTAGGCTTACCAGAAACTGATCACCAAGCTTGAGATTTATGGCCTTGGTATTGTCAAAGTGCTGGACCTTGAGTCTACTTGTCCTAGCCCCCAAACCACAAAACACAGATTTTGTAGGGATAAAAGTATGTGTGTATGTGTGTCTGTATGAGTGTGTGTGTGTGTGTTAGATAAGAAGCTATCACTCAAAAGATACCCATTCATTGAAGTATGCATCATATAACAGTGGAAGCAGAAATGTTATTACTGAGATTGAGTTGAATTGGCTTTTTTTCTTTCTTTAAAGTACATGGTTAATAGTCTCTGTGCCTAAACAACAGGCCTCTGGAAACTGTAGGAACTGATCAATGACGCTAGTTTTAGAAAGACTTTAGGCCTTTTGTTCATAGGGTCTCTATGAATCCTGCTTGACTTGATGTCAATCCACAACAACGACAATCACAACTACCTCTTTTGCATTTAGACTAGAAATGGGTGGTGCCTGGCTATCATTGCAGAACATTTGATCTAAACTTCTCTGGAAGAATCTTGATCAAGAGGGGGGAAACGTGGAGCAGAATTTAAATTCTCTTGGAATCCAGAGTTTCTGGAGGCAGTGAGACTGGATGATCCCCCAAATCTACTGCCCTGGGATAATTATAATTTTCAAACCATGAATAAATGTATCCCCTGGAGCATACTTTAAACAACACTGTGGCTTAATAAGGAAAGACTATCAGCTGTGAGTTGTCACCTTATTAAGAGCAATTTAAAGATTAACTATGAGGCTTGGGGAAGAGAGTCTTTGTCAATAAGGAAGGAGCCAATTGGAAAAAGATCGGCTGTTCAATTTGAAGAATGTGCTCAGTACCATTGAATGGTCCATGTTGAATGGATGTGTGTTTGGCTTGAGTATATTTTCAGCGTAAAGACGTGGGAATGTTTTTAGTGCGGGAACACAGTGTCACTGAGGCTCTTTTTCTTTTCGACTTGGTAGGGCTGGATGACTGCTTGCAGCAGTATGTCCACAAGTTCGAGCGGGAGAAGATCGACGGAGAGCAGCTGCTGCAGATTTCCCACCAGGATCTCGAGGAACTGGGTGTCACCCGCATCGGACACCAGGAGCTCGTGCTAGAGGCCGTGGACCTTCTCTGTGCGCTGGTTAGTTCTGGGGAAGGAACCTGGGCTCCTGAAAACCACTGCCACGGACACCTTCACTTTCTTAATGATCCCTTGATGTGAGCTACAAACTGAAGATAAGATAGTAAGAGAAGGAAACAAAGCTTTGAATCGATTCTTCTTGGTTCAGTCATGGCTGAGACAGCAAACCCAGAGTAGATATTAATTTATACAATGTCAAGGTCCTGGGGCTGTAACTGGAATGGGGAAACGACAGGTCAGTTGGAAACGGGGTCTCCTCCTTAGAAAACAAAGGCCATGTGCACATTGCATAAAAAAAAACTCTTGGTGGACAGAATCAGAAACCATGGTGTCCCACTCAAAGAGGGTGACAGACTGCGTCACTTTGACACTGTCCACAGCCCAGCTGATAATCCAGTTACCCACCTCATCCCTTGAAAGGGCCCCCTCTGCTTCTTTTGAGACTCCTATTCCATGGCTTTGACCTGTTCTTGTTCCTGTTCTAGTTAGTGTTCCTTCTCACTCAAATTTTAAAAGTTTTAATCTGTTTGGATTTCATTTCGTCAGCCCTGTGTGAACTGGTTTGAGCCAATTTGAAGCCCTAAAAGAGAAGGAATAATTTTTTAGATGAAAGGCTGGCAAGCTATGCCACAGGGGTCGAAATCTGACCGTGGTCTAATTTGCCCAGTAAGTATGATTGAGAAACATCTTTACTCATTGAGTTAGGTGTTATCCATGGGTAGGAGCCCCCCCCGCCCCCGTGATGCAGAAGGCTAAACACTTAGCTACTCACTGGTAGGTTGCTGGTTCAGATCCACCCAACCCACAGCCACCTCAGAAGAAAGATCTGGCTTTCTGAAAGCTTCCACCCCCTGACGACCTGGTAGAGCACACAGCTCCACTCTAATCCTCACGGAATTGCTATTGGAGTCACTGACTCAGCAGCAATTGCTTTGCTTATGGATGCTTTCCTCCTCCGACAGCAGAACAGCGTAGTTGTGATTCTGATTTTTGCCTTCAACACGGCCAAGTGGAGTCCTGCCTTGTTCAGGCTGTTATGTTGACGTCACAACTATGCTTTCTGCTGTCAGATGACCCACACTGCCAGGTCACAGGTACAACACAACTGCCTGAACAAGGCAGGACTCCACTCCATCATGTCGAAGCCAAAAATCAGAATCTGCCAAATGGAACCAATTCATACTTTCCCCATTCAGCTGCCACTTCGCGGGCTGTGGTAAGAAACACAAGCTATTTAAATGCCATGAGTATCTGTCAAATGCAAGTGACTGGTAGTAACCAAAACAGACATGAAAATCAGAACCCAGCTGTCATTTTCATTTAGAAAATTATCTTTCACTAGGGATCCTCTTTGCAATCACTTGTTATGTATCAGAGAATTGGATAATGACTAAGGAGGATAGAAGGAGAATTGATGCCTTTGAGCTGTGGTGCTGGAGAAGAGTATTGAGAGTAGCATGGACTGCTAGGAGAACAAACAGATTCATCCTGGAAAGGGTTAAACTGGGTGGCTCCTTGGAGGCAAGGATTCTGAGGCTCCATCTAACATACTTTGGACATGTTATAAGGAGGGACAGGTCCTTGGAGAGGGACATCATGCTTGATAGGGTGGAGGGACAGCACAGGAGGGGAAGACCCTCTATGAGGTGGATTGATTCAGTGACTGGGATAATCGGGATGGGAGTGTCAGAGACAGTGTGATTGGCACAGCACAGAGCGGAGTTTAGGGCTGTTGTACGTAGGGTCACTATGAGTCGCAAACAACTCGATGGCACATAACAACAACAACAACAACAGAGATCCTCTGCATCTTTTATCCTTTATAAAAAATGGAAAAAAAAAGATGAATGCACTCTTTCTTTGTAAACGGAAAACTTTTCATGATACAAGCAAAACTGAGAGCATTTCAGGTTTGGGCAATTATGTGGTCCTGTTGTGTTGCACCTGTGACCTGGTTGACACCTGGGAGGCCACTTTGTTTACAAACTGGTTGGCACAGGATGGAACTCAAGTCTTCTGTCCTGGTGCCCCTCAAGGATGCAGCTTACTCGAGTGCCAGAGTTGGGACAGACTCAGCGGCATTTAAGTTGGGTTACCAATGCTCGGAGCCTGCGCCAGGGGCATATACAATTACATCACTGAGAACGGTGGGAAAGAATGCGCTCCTGAGAATTTGGCCAGTGCCGGGCTGGGTTCCGTTGATTATATGACACTTGCTGCATTGTGTGTATTCTTCTTCTTAAAATGGACAGAGTCCTGTCTTCTCTGAGATGCACTGTCCTTGTTCAGGAAAGTAACGGGGAAATTTTTTACAGTTGATAAATGAGTTGTCACAAGGGAGACGCGGCAGCCAAGTGGTCTGAGCGTTGCTGGGAAGGCATGGATCTTGAATTCTAATCCCCGTGGCGCTGTGGCTGAAAGCTTTCCCTGTGCAACCTCCGGGGAAGCAGTCTTCATCGCAACAGTCCCACCCACTTCAGACATGGCTGTGTAGGACGGTGTGTGTGCTTAGCACTGCAGGGGAAAAAATACCTGAGTGTTTATTATTGCAACTGTAGGTGCTTTATGTAATGAAACATCTTTTAATTTGCCTTGATGATAACTTCCTGGGGAATGTTGCACTCCCATTTTCTCTGCTAGATGTTCTGCAAATGGGGACCGTCTCTCACTTTGCAGCCGTCCTTTGAGGCCCCATAGATTGCTCTGGGATCTGCAGCAGAATTGAAGGTGGAAGGGTTGACTGGATGCATTATGTAGGTTAATGGACAAGACAGAGACCTCTGGCCACTCTTTCTGCTCTCCCCACTTCATACTCTTAAAATATTAGACAAAAGCGAACAGAGCTGGATGAGTGCCAGCCCCCGAAGCTGTGTTTTATCTCCTACAATTTCCTTCTAATTTCCTTTGTAGACAAAGTTTTGACCTCAGATTCATTCTGCACATGCTTTGTGTGGTGGAGTGCCAGGGGATGCATTTACCAGAAGGTTCTTTGGAGGGTACACAAAGCAAAGTTCTCCTTTTTTTGGGGGGGGTGTTCAGAAGGCTTTTTAGGAGAGTTTTACCAGAATATCTTTCATCTTGATCTAATCTCTTTTTTAATAATTACTTTCTTGGGATACATATTAGCAAACCATATGTTTAATAACACTCAAATCGTATAGATGTATAAACACTGCCAAGAACTTTTGCCTTGAACAGTTTAGATAGTTGATGTGTACGTGCAGTTGGCCCCTTGTGTTAGGACGGAGGATTTATGTGGCGTTTATGTCACTTGGCTTGGCGGATGCTGATTTTCATGAGTCAGTTCTCACGAGTTGGGACTGACTCAGCGCTGACCTCCAGCAGGTTTTCAAAGGCTGTAAATTGCGTGGGAGGAGATTGTCCATCTTTCTCTCCAGAAGCTGGTGAATTCGAACCATCAGTCTTTAGATTGATGATACAACTCCTTATCCACCAGGCTACCAGACTCCCTTGGAACATAAACTAGGGATCAGCTACCAATTAAGACGTTAATACAGATGAGCAGGTGGACCATATATAGTTAGTCCTGGTTAGACAACAAGAAGAGAAGGCACCTTTTATGAATATTGACCTTGACCAGGGTGGAGTGGCTTCCAAAAAACCCAAGCTAGTGCTGTCAGTTCTAACTCATGGTACTCAGCTCTGTGGCATGGGAAACGCGTGCTGCATAGGTTTTAATGGTTGATAGTTTAGGAAGTAGATCATTAGACCATTTCCCCTTGATAGCTCTGGGTAGACTCGAATCTCAGCCTTTTGGTTCACAGCTGAGAACATGGACTTCACCCAGGAACTCTGTGGAGTGGTTTGGGACTTGTGTGTGAGGCAGCACCAGAACCATTTCCTGGTAGAGTTCGGAGGCTGAGCCCAATTTTTTTGCCTCCCATCTGAGCAGAAGATAATTTACACAGACCATGTGCATTGCTTTCCATTGGAGAGTCACTAAGCCACATGCGATTGTTTAAATTTAAACTAATGACGATGAATTAACATCAAGGTCCTTGGTGATATTAGGTACGTCTCAAGAGCTCAGTCACTGTGCTGTCTAGCAGCTGCCTTATTATTGGACAGCACACAGAATTTTCTTTGTTGCAGGAAGTCCTGTTGGACTGTGACTCAGAGCTTCCAAGTATGTCTGTTACCTGTGTTCTTTGCCAAATCAGTGAAGTCCTGGGTTCCTGAAGATCCAGGCAGAAACGATTGTACAGATGTTCAGGGTAGAGGCAGTAAGGGGAAGTAAACCACGTTGGAACCATTGCATGCGTTGAGTGATGCCACATAAATGTGCCATTACCTGGAATGATCCTAGCTGGTTGGAGAACTTTATGAATGGTCATGTATCCCCGAGATGGTTCATCATCTCCCCATAACAGTGCGTAAAACATGCCCCTATTTTCTTGGGACTAAAGATTGTGAAGGAATTGGAGTCTTTCCTAGCAATTTGTAGAATGGCTGTGACCTTATTAGGTGCCTTCAGGAAAATTGAGAAGTCTTTTTGTTAGGTTATGCTTTGTTGACTCAAATCAATAAGTTAATTGCTCTGACATCCCTTCATCATGATTGGAGCTCGTTGGGACAGAGGGAGAGGGCTGAGGAGTTGGATAGGATTTGTCCCAAGGGAAATGTGAATAATTCTAAGGCATCCGAAGGATGAGAAATCACTTTCCTTTGCTCCGGTCTAGAGTTTCTTTCCCCATTCAGACCAGGAAATGATCTTAATGGCTAGCTCTTAATGAAGTGAGACTCTGCTGGAAGCCTTTCAGTCTGCGCTGGGATTTGTAGAGCTTTGTTTCATTTGTTGCTTAATTTGTATCTTCTGATGCTGTATCTTAAAGCAATTTCTGAGGGAGATATGTTTTACAGACGCTTCTAGTGAAAATAATCAAGTCTACTTTTAAGAGGTTATTCATTTTCTGCCTTTCATTGTGGGGCACTTAAGTCAATAATCCTTTCCTGATGATGTTTGTACAGTCGAGATTCTTTGGAGCTCATATAATCAGGTTTTTGTTCTCGCCTTAACTGCAGAGTAAGTTTGAAGGGGAGGGAATTTTCCTTCCGCCTTTCCTTGCTTTTCTCTTTTAAAAATGACACTATTATAATTAAGTATGTCTCCCCTAGTTAGTTTTGGGGGACGGGAAAATGAACCAGGGCAAATTGAGTGGTAAATTTAAGAGAATCATTGAGAAGCAGCACCTCCCTCCCTTGTGTTGGCATTCAAAGTGCAGACTTGTAGAAGACCAGGGTTGAAAACTTCTTTTAACAATAAGAGGCACTGAATCCTCTTGACGCTTAGAAGTGAATTTTGTATAATAATCAAAGTTGCCGATACTTTGTTGCGGCATTGCCATAGAAACATTTTATCTATCTATCTATCTATCTATCTATCTATCTATCTATCTATCTATCTTTTATCTATCTATCTATCTATCTATCTATCTATCTATCTATCTATCTATCTATCTATTTATCTATCTATCTATTTTGCTTTTAGCTCTAAACTCCTGCTAAACGTTGGCAGTCTGAGCAGTTGACAGACTAAAGGGACATCAACTAAAAAACTCTGCTCCCAAGTAGGAACTAGCTCAACGCTGACCGTCCAGCAGGTTTTCAGAGACTGCAAACCACGCAGGAAGAGATTGTGCATCTTTCTCTGTGGAGTTGCTGGTGGGTTTGAACCACCGGAGAGGTGCTGGCTCCAGGCTGGACACACAGCTCCCTACAGATTGTGCCACGTGTTCTATTGATTGGTCACCAGTCCTTAAAAACAGGCTGTGTTGTGTGTGCTCTTCAGTCATGGACATATATGTCTTTGTGTCTTCAAATTTCCAAAGTCACGATAGAAATCTTTGGTGTTTTGTTTTTTTTTTTCATTTTTGGCTTCCCTGTGGAAGATTAGTAGCACATTTTAGTCTCTGGAACATGACGGCAAGGAGGTTCAAGAATGTATACAGTGACTCTGTAGGACTGTCTACTGATTGCTATCCATATGGAATCTTCATTAATATTACAGTAGCAACAGTAATACAAGCTTGTGAAAGACAGTGTTCATTTAGTGCATCTGGGAGGAATTTTATTTTAATATATTTATACTTAATTTCTTGTAGTCTTTCGACAAACATACTACTTATTTTACATAGAATAAGACCAAAGAATTAATTTCAACAAAGTCTATTTGAACTGAGAAACACTGCAAGAAGATTTTGTTGAATTGTTTTAAATCAGTTTGTTAGTCTTGTATTGTTAACTTTGACTAGGGGAGAATAGTTCTTGCAGACTTAGAAGTAATTTGCAAATATAAGTGTATTTGTGCTTTGTACCTTTTGGCTTTGAAGCATGATTTGTAAAAGGAGCCTGGTGATACGTTAGTTACTCAGTGGGCTGCTAACTGAAAGGAAGGGTTGGTGGTTCGAATCCAGCAGCTGCTCTGAAGGAGGATGAGGAGGTAATATGCTTCCATAAAAACTTATGGCCTTGGACACTCTGGCGGTTCTTTCGGTCCTGTCTTTAAGCAAGAACGGACTCAGTAGCAGTTGGCTTGTTACTTTTCTGTTTTGGAGAGTTGGAGAGACAGCACTGAAGTGGGTAGGTTAGATGAAGCAGGAAGAAAGGAGGACGTTAAGGGTTGGGAATTGAGAGTTGCAGCTGAAACAGCCCCTGAAGTGAAGCGGGTTGGAACAGGCCAGGTCAAATCTTGAGTTGTTATACAGCCGTTAGTACACTTCCTGCCTTGTGCATCTGCAGGGTCCAGTCTGTCCCCTTGTGTTGTATCCACATTGTGTCCTCTTGTCCCTTTGTCCTCTCTGGGCAAGGTGTGTGGACAGGGAGATGGGTCCAGTGGTTGGAAGCTGGCAGTGTTGGTGCTGATGCCTGGAGGGGGTCCTGAGCCAGCCCTGTGTTAGGCATGGGGCTTTGTGCGGTTACCTTGACGCTTCTGTGTCAAGGCCAGGAATGCTGTCAGCATCCGGCCAGGTGTGGGATGAGGAGCACGGTGGCACAGTGCTGAGGCACTCTGCTCCTCACCCAGACGCTGGTGGTTTGAACCTACCTGGTGGGTGACTCTGGCGGAGGAAGACCTGGTGACCTGCCATGTAGAGATTGCTCTCCTGGGCCATCATGTCAATCCTAACTCCTAGTGATCGTACGTGACAGAGGGGAACTTTCCCCAAAGGGCTATTGCCTTTCCAGGAACAGAGAGATCGCCACATCTTTTCCTCCATGGAGTCAGTGCCCTTAGCGGCTGAGCGCTTTATCATCGCACCACCGTGCCTCCTTAGTGGTGTCGAAAACCCAGCGGGCAGCTGTTCTCTGGCACATGGGACAGCAGTGAGATGAAAGTCTAACACGGTGTGTCAGATGGCATTGAATAGCAGAAAGTGTGTCCTACATCCCCACCGAGAATGCAGAGCTGTCTGGTTCCCCATGGCTGTAGTGCAAGTCTGAGAACTGGTAGCTAAGTGGTCAGGCCAGGGTGGAAGTGACTAGAAACATCTGTCCACACCAAGATATGGGTGGGAAGAATGCTTCAGGGGAAGAAAGTTGAAGATCACATGAGTGCCAAGGGGCAGCCCAGGTGGGGTTTTGCAGCTGTGGTAGGAGCTCTGGTGGTGTCCTGGTGAGGACCTGTGCGGCCACCCTGAAGACACACAGTTCGAATCTGCCTGCTGTTCCGTGGGAGAAAGATGGACAGTCTCCTCTTGTGAAATTTAATGACTGAAAACCCACTGGGGGGGGTCAGCTGTGCATCAGTTCTGACTCAATGGTATTCAACACCAAACAAGTGAATTGTATAAGTAACCAGGGGTCTTGGGGACCTAGTTCTGAGAAACTGGGCTATTATTGCCGATTGTCTTGACCTTTGCTCTTTTTTGTTTGTTTGTTTTGTCTTCTGCAGAATTACGGCCTGGAGACTGATAACATGAAGAACTTGGTTCTGAAACTTCGATCCTCTTGCCACAACTTACAGAACTACATCAACAGCCGGCGGAAGAGCCCTGCCTACGATGGGAACACCTCGCGCAAGCCGGCCAACGAGTTCCTGACTTCGGTGGTGGAGCTCATCGGGGCAGCCAAGGCCCTGCTGGCGTGGCTGGACCGGTGAGCGCAGGGTGGGCTTCGCTGTCGGGGTCAAGCAGGCTCACACAGGAAAGAAGGCTGAGCTGTGTTCTGGGGAGATGGAGCTGTTTTTACCCCTTGCATGCTCCGTTCACAGAAACACTCCCGGAATCCGGGATTAGTGGGAGTTTTGGGGCCCTTTGCAAGTTACTAAGGCCTCTGGGTGGGATGTGTCACTTGACATTGGCTCTAACCTAATGGATGGTAGTTTAAACACTCTTCATGCAATGATAGAAGTAAAGCCAGAATCCTACTAGTGTAAAAATTACCCCCAAATCCATAAACTCCAAGCCTGTTGTTGATTCTGACTCATAGCTTCCCTGTAGGAGAGAATGAAAGTTCCTGGTAGGAATTTCAAGGCTGTATCCCTTTCTGGAGGTAAAGGTGCTAAAGCTTCATCTCACGTAATTTGGATATGTTGTTGGGAGAGACTATTCCTTGGAGAGGGACATCATACTTGAAAAGGTGGAGGGTCAGCAAAGGAGAGGAAGACCCTCAGAGAGACAGACTGACACAGTGTCTGCGTCCGTGGACTCAAGTGTGATAGAGAGTGTGAGGATGACACAGGGTACGACCAGGTTTAGGGTCGCGAGGGGTCATGCTTGACTTGACGGTCACTAAGAATAACCACCCCCCCCCCCCCCTTTCTGGAAGCAGAATACCACTCGTTTTTCCTCACAGAGGAAGTTCAGCTGGGCAACTATTCAGTTAATAGTTGATCGCTTAACCACTGCACCACCATTGCTCCTTCTCGATAAAGATCAAAACCAAACTCAGAGCTATCAAGTTGATTGACCACTTGGCAGTCCTCCCTACACTGAATTTCGGAGGCTGTAAATCTTAACTGGAATAGATGGCCTCATTTTCACTTGTAGAAGAGCTGATGGATGGACTCAAACCACTGGCCACTGGCCCACCAGATCTTCTTACTGTGACGATTACGTAAGAAAGCCTTATGGAGGGAGCTCTGGTGGCCTAGTGGCAAGAAGCTGCACTGCAGTCCCAGAGGCACGCAGTTCAAACCCGCCAGATGCTCTGCTGGAGAAGGAGGGGCATTCTTTTCCTGTAACCAGTCAGATCCGATTTGATGCCACACACACAGAAAATAATAAAATTTAAAAGAAGAAAGGAAGCCATAGGGCGCTCGTTCCTATTCCTTCCTGCATTTCATTGCGATGAGTCGGAACCCACTTGGCCTGCAGTGGGGCTTGGAATTTACCGTGAAGGTGAATATTTAACATAACTCATTGCCATCAAGTCGCAACCGACTCATAGCTGACCCTCTAGTGGGTTTTCAGGGAGCACGGGTGACGTAGATAAGAAGCTGTGCTGCATCTACAGGCACGTGGTTCGAATCCAGCAGCTGCTCTGTAGGAGAAGGGTGGACAGTCTCCTCCTGTGTGATTTCCTGTCTCTGAAAACCTGCTGGAGGGTCAGCTGTGGGTCAGTTCTGACTCGATGGTACTCACCAACCACAGTGGGGTTTGAGAAGCTGTAAAGAGCAGCAGTGGAGAGAGTCCATCTTTCTTCTGCAGAGCAGCGAGTGAACTCACAATACCTGCCAGCTCCTTACCCACTAGGCCACGGGAGCTCCGTGAAAGGGTAACGTGGTAACACATTAACCTCAGCTTAGAGAGTCACTTCAGAAAGTGTGCTAAAGGTTGTCTGCTTCCGCGATGAAACACGAATGATTATTTGGTTGGCGTGAACGTTGCTGGCTGACTTCTGCCAGGCTATTCATTCTCTAGACTCATTTTTCTGATAGGTCTTTATCTAACACTGCTCTGGCTTTTGTCTGTCCAGATTCCCTCTTGCTGTGTTGCTGGAGAGGAAGCCGATGGTTGATATTCCTGATAATTGAAATTAGCCTGTTGCATAGCTGCACTTTTCAGCATACACTGTGGGATCTCAACGGATACTTTTTCTAATAAAAAGAATTTCTGTTTCTTTCTAGGGCTCCGTTCACGGGGATCACAGATTTCTCAGTCACAAAGAACAAGATCATTCAGCTTTGCTTGGATCTGACCACTATAGTCCAGAAGGTCAGTACCTCAGGTCGCCACTGCTACTTTGTGAGGAGTTTTGGGAGGGGGAGTGTGTGTGTTGGGTGTGTTTGCCATCTTTTCATCAACAGAACTCTGGTAGCATAGAGGTAAGGAGTTGGGCTGCCAACCCAAAGCCGCGCAGTTCAAATCCCCCAGCTGCTCAGTGGGAGAAAGATGGACAGTCTCCTTTCCTGCGATTTACTGCCTCTGAAAACCCACTGGAGGGTGAGCTATGAGCTACTCTTATGTCGTTGGTACACAACAACAACCACATCGTCAACATGTAGGTTTGGAGTAGCATTCTCTTTTTCTGTCAGGATCAGAGAGAGACAGAAAGCTTAAAACTGGGGGCCTTGAACAAATGGCTTCACTGAAAACTGACCCATGGCTTTTGAATCAAAAGATTTCATGACTTCTTTTGTTTTAAAACAATATTCAAATAGTCTTGCATGTTCTCTGAAATGTTAGAACACTTAATGACTTTTTTCAGTAGGAAATCTAGGGTACTTTGATGTTACTACAGTCTTTGAATAAGGATGACAGTAGAATTGTTTTCTTTGAATTGTTTTGGACAAGAGTACTGAATATCCCATGGACTGATGAAACAACAAATAAGTCTGTCTTGGAGAAAGTGCTATACAGGTGCTCCTTAAAGAGAGGGATGATGAAACATTGTCTTACACACTCTGAGGGTGTTTTCAGGAGGGACCATGCCTTTGAAATGATAACCATTCTGGGAAAGGAGGGTCAGCCCAAGAGAAGATGACCATCAGTGAGCGTGAGCTGGATCGACAGTGACTGAAGCGATGAACTTGAGCATGGTCGAGTTGTGAAGACAGAGCAAGGTTCAGATCTGTTGTTCATGGGCGCTCTATGAGTCACAGTCAGCTTGATAGCATGAACAGATCGAACAGATATGTCTTAGAGAAAGTGCAGCCTGAGTGCTCCTTGGTAGCACAGATGACAAAGCTTTTTCTCACCTACTTTGGGCATGTTGCTAGGAGAGGCTGTGTTTTGGAAAGGGACATTGTGCTTTGAAAGGTGGAAGGTTGGGGGCATAGAGGAAGACCCTGAGCAGGATGGACTGGCACAGTGACTGCACCAGTGAGTGGGCTCAGGCATGTCAGAGAAGATGAGAATGGCACGGGATAGGATGGGGTTCACATGTGTTGTTCGTAGTGTCGCTCTGAGTTGTATTTGCCTCGATGGCACCAAACAACAACAGTGGCCTTTATCATACTGTGGCTGCTTTTTAATATTCTTTCCATTTTGACTTCTGGTTAATGGCTGTATCAGGCAGGACGAGGTAGGTAATGTTAGTGTGTATCCCTTCGTCATGCTTTGTGCGCTCACACAGGCCAGCTGGGCAATCTGCCTCAGTTTTCCTTTAGGACCTGGGCTGGCAGGTCGCCCCTGTCTCATGGGCCTGTCTCCAGGTCACAGGAACCGAGAGCCTGGCAGCTTCACGCTGCCAAATGCTTTAGTGGGGAATTGTTTCTTTCCATTTCCACTCCCAGCACTTTGGCCAGACCAGATATCTTAATGAAGGCTGAAAAAGTTTTATATCAGCCTGTCCAAGACTTAGCTAGTGTCTGTGACAGTATGCTTTATTTTTTTATTAGTTTCTTATCAGACTATGTGTTTTTACAGCCACCAGTTGTCTTAGCACCTGGCCTACAGCAGACACTTGTTAAATATTTTTTAAAATTTTATTTTGTAGAGTGCATCTAAATTCCAAAATCAATCTCCATAATAGTCTATGTGTTTCCTACTGCCAAAGGGGCCCTTTAGAGTATTGAGAGAAGATCTTCACCCTGAAACCCACAGCGTCCCTTTTCAGCAGGAAGTAGCTAAGAGAATACGCCA